TTAACTTAAAGATTCGCTATTAGTAGACACTGCTGCTGAATACTGCTGAGAGACGCACAGGCGCAGGTATTCACACTCACTTAATCTCTCTCTCTCTCTCTCTCTCTCTCCCTCTCTCTCTTTCCTTCTCATGCATATCAATGGCTCAAGCCTCTGTTATTAGCTCTAAAATGACATTTTGGAATTTGCAACAGAAGGTTTGGGATGAGGTGCGTAAAAAATTAGCTAGTTCAACACACACGAGATTTCAGGACAGAAACATGTTAAATGTCTTGAAACAAATCATCTGAACAATTGATGTGTGATTGTGACCCTTTTGCACTCCCGAAGTGGTTATGTGGCCACGTCGCCGCGCCTATTAATGGAATGGTCTTTCTCAGTTCTCAAACAAATTAAGAACTACATTCGATTTTTAATGACTGAACGCAAGCGCTTATTGCGATAGAAAACACTATAACGGTTTCACTGATTAAGAAATATTTTTGTTTGCTTGAGTGATAATATTAGGCCTATTTTATTAATAGGGAAGGGGGGCCCAAACATTTGTTTTGCCTATGTCATGAAAAGAGGTAAATCCGGCCCTGAGTAAATCAGAAATCTTGAACATAACTGTTCGAGGAAGGCTGTGCAATCTTCTGCCTCTGCTCCCGCCTCACAGCAAGCGGCGCTCGCGCTAACTCAAATTCCGTCCGTGTTTTCACTTCAGTAAATCAGTTTTGGTGAATACAAACTACGTGATTATTTTTCATGAGTCCAACATCGCGCCGCGCAAGAGACGTGATCAGTAAGAGAAGTCGTCTTTCACTATTGTAATGTTGTTAAATAGAGAAAAAAAAATTATATTTAAGTAACTAATTGCAATTCTTAACCTTGGACCTTATTCTTGAAACACAAAATTACCAATAAAAAGGTGCCCATATTAAATCTATAAGCTGTTTTTAATGGAAAAATACGCATTTTCATGCATGCTATATATGTGTGTGCTAACCCCCCCCCCCTTTAGTCAAGTCAAGTCACCATTTATATAGTGCTTTTTCCAATTCAGGTTGTGTCAAAGCAGCTTTACAGTATTAAACAGGGAATTAGTGTGTCAAAATTGTGTGCCGTTCTCCTCTGGCCAGACGAAACCAGCATTTTAATTCTAGACTGCAACAATGTCAGATTGTGCAGAGGACTCATCTGGTTCCTGTAGTCTTGTCCCAATGGCCATCTAGGAGGTCTTCGGAGGGGATCTATCTTTGGGGCTCATCTAGTTGACATGGTCTCCGCTGACACTCAGGGCTGTAGAGGTCATCTCTAGGTGCTGATCCACCATCTGGTCTGGATACAGTCTGGATCTGGGTGGCTACGCTGACCTCGAAGTGACCTTTAGAATACTCTCTTTAGAATTTAGGTCTGTTAACAAAACCAACAATTACTTCAGCTACATATTTATTTTTCAAAAAAAAAAAAAGGCCTTATCTGTGACATCTATGCTACAGTGTATTTCCGTTACACCCTGCTAAATAAATTTTTTCTCCATTATCCCTAATTATATGTTCCAAATCAACAGAGTTCTGCCTTGGATTACAGACCCACATTGCCCATCTCTTGTGCCCCTCTGATTTAGTCTGGTTTACATGATGTCCTTTTAAGGCAGGTCTGTTTGTCACGACTGTGGGTGTCTGGTCCTTATGGGAGCTGGTCATGTCGACTTCAGTAATGGAGAGTCTTTCCATAACACATCCACCCACTCCAGTCATATGTTTACAGGCACGGTCCTCTTGAAGGTCCACTTTACAGCACTTCCCAGCCACCTGGTCCTTTTGTAGTTGCTTCATTACATGTCATTTAGCACAGGCTTTGGCTCTTAGCCTTCTTGAAAATAGTAACCTTTCATGAGTACTATAGCTCAGATAAACCTAAGGACAGTTCTAGCATTTTGTCAGTTTTTATCAGACATTTAACAGATGCCTTTGTCCAGAGCAATTTAAGATTGAACTCTGATTAGTTCACCTGCTGTCTGTTCAAAAGTAATTTGGTCTGGACTGACCTTATGTAATTTTTAATTTTCTTGCTGATTCAATATTCAAATCCACCCACACTCTAATGTGTCATGTGTGGCTACACACTCAGGTCATGTCTAATACATGAAGAAAGACATAATATATATAAATTATTATTATTTTGAAATTTGTATATGATTCTAGAAAACACCAGAATATGTTTTTCCCACTTTCTCCTTATTTGTTACTGCCACCATCTGTCCTCTCACACCAGAGGCAATTCATAATGTGTAAAGAATCTTAGAATGAAGAGCTGTGACTTGACTCATGTAGCTAAATTCATGGACTCAACAGACTTCAGCTAAAATAAAACAAAAATATTTCATAGAAAAGAATATAACCTAACATAAGCATCATTCTTTACATGAACATAAACATCATGCTTGAATGGTCCCTTTTGACCCACTTTGTGGGTGTGAATGTTCACAGATAGCCTAGTGCTATGTGAGATGCAGCTTTTAGAGCTTTTTGCCTTAAAAGGACATAAACCATTCTTGAAATATTTCAAAATGGCAACTGACCCATGCCATCTGTTTATGACATAATGCAAAGTCACTTACATATGCATGCTGGCTAAAAATGTGACTGACATTATAAGCCAAGAACCTCAGATGCTGGAGAAAAAAATATAAATGATGAAATTAGTTATTCTGTAATGATGGGGGGATGGGGATGGGAACCAACGCATGTTGATTGTTGGCAGTGTATTTAATGACATCTTCACGATGATTCTCTGACATCAGAGGAGTGAATTAAAGTCATCCACTGCATCAGAAGAAAAAATATCAAATAGGTAATCTATTTTGGCTTGCATGATGAGTGTAAAAATTAATCAAGGATGGCTCTTAAAGGTATTTGATAAGATTAAACATGTGCGTCACCAAATCCTATTTCCTCCACTTTGTGAATAACCTGGACGAAAAATTGTTAACACAATTACTTTTGGTCACCAAATTCAGGATGTACAGTTCTGTTTCCATAATTCTCGATCACTGTATGATTTAAGGTCAGATCAGGACACTAGTTCCAAAATGTTTTAAACCCTTTTAGTGTTAAGGTGGATGTATTTTGTTTCTGTAAACAATTTTAAAAAGATGTATGTGCAGAGATCCAACAGGGTCCTTTGAGGTGAAATATGTCAGTCATTCTAGTCCTGTGGGTGATCTGCAGATACTTTCTTCTGAGGGCATCTGCTCCCCCATTGTTTCTATATCCCATGGTATGTGTGTGGTTTGTCCTGTGAGGACCCCTGGGAAATGTCAGGCAATAGAAACCACAAACATTAGCAGACAGAATCTCCTCAGGAACTTCAGTCCACAAAGGCAACGAGAGGCCATTTGAGGTGAACTAGGGTATACTCATGAAACATGCCACATTAGATAAGTGATTCAAAAGAAAAACATTGCATAAGATTTTAATCTTTGAAAAGAATGAACAGAATGATGCTGCAGGTGTAATCACTCTACCATTCACAGTGACGTTGATTGACAAGACTGATGCCACATGAGATTTCATAAGCATTGTCACCCCATCCAAAGGCTTACATGCCTCACAGGAGTATGTAAATTAAAATGGAAACTCTCTCAGAAGAATTACACTTCCATTTAAAAGTTTGAGTTTAGCAATATTTAGTAATGTTTTATGCTTATACTTCATGGGAACCGTTTGTTGACCGAAAATATCCTCCAATTCATGTTTTCTCCACTTTTTCATTCCATATTTCCTTCACTACAACCACCAGAAAGCATTTTCCTGTTACTTAAGTTAACTTAAGCTCCATTAATGGGTTCAGTCTGAATAGCATTATGTTTCCATTTATTAAGAGTGTCACCCACTGCACCATCATAAAATATGCAGGGAATGTCCAGCTCCTTATATTTTAAATTGGGCTAAGAGGTAGAAAAAATAAGGTGGCATTTTATGTTACTATTGCTATGGCATAAACAGTCTTTGCTCATCTGAAGCTAATGGGAATCTGCTGAGGGACGGAGCTATTTCTTTGGTTGAATGGAATGCTGAGGCTTAATGTGATGAAGTCCCCATGGACAACTGATGGCTGGAGCATACAGTGTGAGAGACAAACTTAGGCTGAGGGATACTTCAGGTCACTTTAAAACCATAGTCATACAATTTCCAGTATCACTAGTATGGATTGTCCAGCAGGAATTCAACTATTTTTATTGTTGCTAGATATTTGTTTTACTGGACAAGTTTGGTTTATGAAGCCAATTATATAGTTGAAAGGGATGTGTCTTTGTTAATTAAGCAAATGATTCCCTTTAGACAGCACTCTACTGATTAAATATGTCATCTCCCTAATGCAGTGTCCCATAAAACATGAATTTACCATTTACAGTGTGACATCTTACTTTACACTAATATGTATTGTTTGACGTATATAAGCATATAAAATGAACTGAGACTCATCTGTAGGATTTGGCTTGCATTTTATGCATTCTAACAGAGATTGATGATTCCGAGATGGAATAAGCATCTAGCCTACTTGTGCAGACATCTGGTTACTATCACTGTCCTTCTGCTATATTAAAGTGCTTTGAAAAGTATGGTTCAAGATATAATTGATGTATCTGACATGTCTCAGAGAATCTGGCCAACATTACATATTATATAATTAGAAGCTAATAATTGAATTAAGAAAAAATAAATAAAATGGCTACACTGCTTTGGCAAGACATTGTTCATAAACAAATGACTTTGCAGCACAAAAGAATGATAATGCTTGCTGTCCATATAAAATATAAATATAAAAATATGGATATAAACATGAACCAAAAATCTATATAATAATAATACATTATTTAATTCTTCAAACTTTTATTCATTTGATGCCTCTTTTATTCAGAATCATTAAAAATCAATATTCATGGAATTTTCAAAGTGAAAGGATGGCTTTGTATAATAATAATAATAATAATAATAATACAGGACGAGTTTAATTCCCAAATATGTGCTCATTTTAAACAGTCATAACCACATAATCAGTATAAGCAATCACTTTAAAGGTGGACACATTTCTGATTTAATAATCATTGCACTGAATACATCATACACCATATTTCAGTTATTATATGTATTGCTCAACCCACGCTGATTTATAAAAAACACTTAGTTAAAATGTCAACATGGGTGAGTTTGCACAGTGAATTTTTCCTACTTGCCATGTTAGTCTGCATTCAGACAGATATTCCATTCCTGAGCATTCCTAAACTCTATAAGCAAAGTTGCTTTAAACAGTGTTTAACTTGCTCACAATTACTACACAATGAAATACATGCTACTGAAGGATGTTTGTCCATCATTGGCGACGTGAATGGCTCATTTTCCTGTTGTTCAAAAAGACATCTCAAGAACCATGATCCTATCGCTTAACCACAATCCTTATCAATCCATTATACAACAGTTAGTTTTTGTCCTTGAGTTGATTTGAAGAAGTGTTCCAGGACTTTATATTTAGTATAACGGCACTGTGTTTTAATTTTTTGTAACTTTTTGTATCACCCTGACCCTGAACACTTGTCTATGTTTAGAAAAGCAGAAGTGAATGTGGAGCTGTGTCCGTGTATTACTTCATTAAATTTGACTTATTTTGGAACTACTGTCATTGGAAAGAGATATACACACTAACTGGCCAATTTTTGTCTAAAATGTAAGCTGTTGGATATTAATTGCAGGTTTATAGAACTGTTTAAAAGCTATATCACATAATTGTTCTGTTATTCTGAATTTGAGCATGGCTGTGATTAACTGCAAATGAATTACGCCACAGTGCCTGTCCATTTTTTCAGCAGCCTTGGTTCTGGAAGTATTTTTCCCATTCATTTTACCCATAGAACATTTTAATAAGTCTCCATCAAAGAGTTATAAGTCATGAAACAAATCAACCAGCCAGGAGGTGAATAACATCATTACAAACTTGATTTGAAGCAAAAAATTATTTGAAAATGGTACAAGACTGTATACTTAACAGTTTTTAATATGGGAAAGAAGCATCACAAATGACATCATTTAAAAATGATGGGAAATGATGTGCTTCATGGGAGTGATTGGATGCTAAACAGCTTTTTTTGGTGGAGATTTCTCTTTAGAATCGTGGGTAATGTGGTTTTATACCAGGAATAAACACAATTATTTAAAAAATAAGTTAAATAAAAGCATGTAACATCTATTAACAACATTGTAGCTCACAGTAGGTCTGTCTTAAAAGGCTTGCAAGTTATCGTTCAAAATAAATTCCTCAAATTTAGAAAATGAATGGGATTTTTACTTTCGGAACCCCTCTATTGCACTCTTTAATGTAACAACTTTTAAATAAGCTTTTTTAAAGCAGGTAGGTCAACACAGTTTCTGTCCTTTAAATAGAAACAAAGTCAGTCTAAACTGTACGACTTCTTCTCTCACGTTCGCAGTTGTTATTTCTCTCGCTGCACAGTCATCAGTTAATGTCATATAATTATGTGCCACACAAATAATCTGGTGTCACACTCCACTTGCTGCATTCTCGGTGTCCTTGGTAACCAACTCCTCTTGCAATGGAGACGAGCCCTCCATTAATTCCAGACCCTGTTCTGTCAAAGAGGAGACGGGAGATCTCGCACTGTAGCTTGTCCAAGATTCTTGGTCAGTTGTGGGAGAGGCTGAATCCCACATGTTTGGCTGATCCTCAGTGGCACCGACCCCAGATCTGCCGTTTTGTTTAGTAGAAGATGTGGCTCCATTGGCTAAAGGAGGTTCACTTGATGCACCTGCTACAAGAACACTAGTTTCCGACACATGGCTAACTTCTGCTGTACTAAAACGTCCTGGTTTTTCATGAATGTGCGCTGAGTCAAATGTTCCTGTTTGGTCAGTATTCTTTGTATTTGTTGTTGAGATATTGAGAAGGCCTTCATGATCTTTATTATCACCCCAGTGTTGTTGTCTATGAGAAGAAGTGGAGTGGGCATACGTGGGGGTCTCTGTCGATCTCAGGCTGACCGGTGGTGTATTATTCATCTTGTTCGTGGATGGTACATCACTTGTTGTGATGTTATTTGTGTTTATGGGCATAATTGCAGCCGTCACCAAAACATCTGACCGTCCAGACACAGATGCAGATGTCGGTTTCCATATCAAACTGTAATAAATTGCCAGTATTATAGCAGCCAAAGACACCGACAAGACATATGCGAATACAGTAGCCAGTCTCACCCACTTTTTATTGGTTTTAGCAGCCATTTTAGCTTTTTTGTCTCCCGTGTATGTGGCCGGTTTGCCCCGTTCCATGTTTGGCATAAAGTCCCGTTCTCTCATGTTCGCGCGGATTCTCCCTCTGTGCTCTTGGACGCCGTCCGTCTTGAAGCTTGTTATTGACAGATTATTCAAGAGAACTGCTCACGGTTTGATACACAGCGTCTGTCGATTATTATTATTCATTCATCATTCCTCCAATCTTGCAAATCCACAATAGCGATCTGTTTCCAGCATGACAGTAGCGCGTGGACGTTATTCCATGCAGAGACGTTTCCAGAGCTCTATAGATGACCGGTAACGTTATATACAGCGATCTCACACCGTTTGGAGCAGAACCAGTGCTGAGATGATGTGATTCATCTGCTGAATGACATGAGAACGGACATACAGACAGCCTCAGTGTTATGTAGTGAGGGAACCGTGTGCTATAGAGCGAAAATGAAGGGAGGCGGGTCTCACTAGTGCACACTAACTAGTCGCTGCCCACAGCTAAACGTCATGCTGTCAGAATCCCCCTGACGGTGTTTGGGTAGTGGACAAATAACATGGGCATGAACATGCTGCAATTTAAAGGGACCTGTATCGCATTCTGTTCTAATTCTCTTTAAACGTTTTAGATGCACCGCACTATTGTCACAAATGTCAACCACTCTTGTTATTTCGCTAACTTTATAAAGCATTGGACAATAGACAAACATTTTGACACATTTTCGTTTAATAGTTTTCAGTAGCCTATTCTGCAGTTTAGTTTTATAAACCCTGGCAAAGGACAAGTGTTTTCATATATTATAGCCTACACTAGTCCCCCCCCCCCCCCCCCCGGCAATTTAAGTTTGATTTGTCGAAATCTCAGACACAAGTTACCATCTTTATTTCATATATCAACCTAAACAATGTCAGATATAATAAAATGTTATCTGTCTATTGGTAGCGTCATATGTTTGGCATATTATTAATCATGGGGGGGGGGGGGGGGGTTTTTTTTTTTTTTTAATGCTTTTGCTCCTTTGTGTTTTGTTTTGACACATTAGTCACCAAGTTCATGGATGCCTCCAGCTGGACAAACAGCTGCACTGCACTATGACTGAAATAATAACCAACCTCAGATTATAGTGCATTCACCTAAAGAATAGTTAAATTAATATCAGTAGGCCTGTCACGATAACAACTTTTTGTTGTGCGATATATTGCCCCAGAAATAATTGCGATAAGCAATATTATTGTCATTTTAAAGACCATTTTATGCCACTGAACATATAATCATAATGTAACAGCATAATAATGCAAGAAGGCCTACACACTTCCAAATGACAACAAACTTTTAATTTTTAAGAATATTTAGATCATGGAAATTAAGTATCAAAATATTAGATACCTTAAAAAAACGGAATAAATAGTAAATAAACTTTTTCTAACAAAAAATGCAAAGTAACAAGTAGAAAAATGCACAAACAACTTGTATGGATTTTTCCTTCTTTTCGCTGTAATTTAAGGGTGCACACTATTGCTGAAAAACACAATCACTACTTAGCAGTCAGATGTCCGTATGCACAAAGGCACAGATCCCTAAACAAGGCCATATCTGCAGATGAGACTTTTTTTTTGTAGAAGCATTTTTAAATTTGAACTAGCACCTCATGACTACACCACGTTATGTACGAGAAGCTGCAAAAGACACAGGCGCAAGTGGAATGTACAAAACATGGTGACATTAATTTTTAAGTAAATATAATGAGTGATATATTGCATCACCAAAAATTATTGAGGTCATGTACATATATTGTGCAATAAGTCGATATATTGATTATTGTGACAGGCCTAAATATCAGTATGTTTATAATTAAATACCATACTATTTTACAACTGTAAGCATTTGTCATATTAATAGTCATTAGATGGATAAGTGATTGGTCAAACTATGTACAATATTGCCTCTGGCTTGCTTAGTTGGGGACACTTCATTTCCAGCGATATCGTTGACTTGATTGCAAATGATTGCAAAGATACTATTTAAAGTGAACTGAGCTGGATGATGACATCACTGAATTGAATGATGAACTGTCTTTAACTGAAAAATGAGTGTTTACGATTGTCATTTTGCATTATTGACACACTATTTTCTTAATTAATGCTGTTCAGTTGCTTTGACACAATCTGTATTGTTAAAAGCGCTATATAAATAAAGGTGACTTGACTTGACTATTGCCATTGGTTATTGTGATAAAAGCTGTCTGAAGATCTGAAAGGCTAAATTTGAAGATTTTTGAAGATGAGAGAGTTGATGTGTCTTATTGTGTGTACTTCTCATTTTTACTCACTGTCAGTTTAACACCCCTCAACACGTTTTTCCACACTGATGATTTTTTTTAGTAACCAGAAACAAACCCTGAGGAAGTGTTGCTACTATTGCCTGACTTCTGGCAATGTAGGACAGGAACAGACTGTTTTTGGTTTAGTGGTGTAAGTATTCAGGACTTCAACCTCTGAAACGTGGACTTGGTTGAGGGTGCTGAACATGTGACCTAATGGGGTATAAAAATGAATTTGGGTTTTCATGTAAGCAAATGGCACACTTGATCAATGATCAAATGAAAGCTTCTTGCATAGTATTGAGTTGGCATGTAAGTGTGGTTCTCTATTCCTTTATATTTTATGCATCAGTTAGTTGTATCAAAATGAAAATGCTAGAAGTATTAAATGTATACGAACATAGCTTTGTGTATATGACAATTAGACAGAAAGTGAATATCAATCAATATAAAAAATTATAAAATAACAGACCTACAGAAATCAAATATGATTATGTTAATCATTATTTTAAACAATATTTAGGACTTTTTGTACTTATTTAGGAAATAAATAAATGAATGAATAAATAAATAAATTATTAATAAATAAATAAATACATTTGCTATTGAACATCAGTGTCCAAAATAAATGAATCTGACCAAAGGGTTCAGTCTTATTTTTGATCTGTGGCAAACAGATTGCACAGTCTGAGGAAGTGATGTCAAAAGACAATGCGTGTATATATAAGACTGTGGGAACTGAGAGCAGAACCTGTTACTAAAAGAGAAAAAAATGACTCTGCTCTTGTTCACATGTCTTGGATTGCTGTTCAACTTTGATTTTAATGCAGGTAATACAGAAAAATGTCAGTCATGACTGGATAGTTTTCATAACTAATATACTATATCTCATAATTAATATATGTTTTTTAAAATTAAGTTAGCAGGTAAGTAACTTCAAGTATATCTGTGCTCAGGGGGCTTATGAATTTACTTATGAATAATGAATGCTAGCTATAATGAGAAAATATCTTTGTTGTTTGTTGCTACTGTACTAGATAGATAGTATTTTCTGTTTATGTAGTAATTTTTACACATGTGTTATGTATTTTTAAAAGAGGTTTTTATGGTTTGATCATAATAATACTTATTTTTAATGTAAAGGTTATGTTTATGTTTACATTAAGGTGCTGATATGGTTGCAGAAGATAAATAAGTCTTCCTTGGAGGGCATGTGAGTTTGCTGTGTCTTAATCTGGTGACAGACAGACTGCAGTAAAATGACATGGCTGTCTACTGATAATCCTGCCATGGAGTTGGTCACCCTTGGTAAACTCAATCCAGACAAGTCAGAGAGAGAAGGCAGAATGAGTCTGATGATGTCTGACTGCTCTCTGAACATCAGTGAAATCAGAGCTGGAGATAATGGATGCTACACCTGCCGTCAATATTCAGGTGGAAGAAATTTTTTTGCTTAAGTTTTGATTCTAGAAGGATCATATTGTTATAAAAAAAATCATCGTGCCAGCAATATCCTAACCAAAATTTTTGCCTTATATCTAAATCTTTTTTTTTTTTCAGCTGCTACCTCCATGAAAAATAATGGCAGCACTGATGACTGAAAATGTTACTTAACTCATTCTAATTATTTCCATGAATTTTATTTTCATGATTGAGAATTGTATACAGCACAGTGGTCAACAGCAATCTTATATTTGTATCCCATGTTGGCCGTTCTGTTTAAATCAGTAGGTAGACATGAGTAGATAGGGCTAAAACAGATGGATTAACACATTTAGACTAATGCAGTATGGTGTATTGGGCGAAAAACCTAAAAACATGTATAAATAAGCCTTTGAATTTTAATTGCATAATCTTCTATCTTGTAGAACAGCATACTACTGTCATACTAAAATGTAATATATTATAGTGTATAGAAACACAAAGACCTTATATCTATGGAACACTATTGTTAACTAATGTTGTTGTTGTTTTTTCTTTTAAAGAACTATTAATGACAATAATCCAGTGCTTTGTCAGTGACTGCACTCATCATATGGCTCAGATATCACAGGAGAGCACAAAGTGAGTCACGGTCACCTTACAGTCTCATTCTCTACAACTGTTACCAAATCTTAAAACCCTAAATGTGCACTTTCTTTCTTTTAGTGAGAACATCAGCTGATAATCAAAACATATTAAAACATGAAACCAATTCTACTGAACATAAACACAATGTGGGTAAAATGCCAATTAGATATAGCAAATATATCTGATCTAATGGTGTGTTCCTTTACTCATTTTACAGAATTCTGTTCTTATTACTTATTACTCTGCATTTGTGATCGGAGAAATGACAAACTACAAACGCTACTCTACACTGCTCAAAACTCGCGTTTGAATCGTCAGTGGCAAATTCTTTAAATATAAAAAACGTACTTACAGTCTGTGAGTCAGAACAGCCGGCATTGTAGTCTACTCTCCCAGGATCAGGAACAGTCCTCCATAAAATGCACTGGACACATCGGAATATTTGGGTTGAACTGTTCTGGAACAGTGTTGTAAATACAACTTAACCACTAATTTCTAGTTGTGTCCTCTTTTGGAAGGCCAAACAAAGTAGTTTCACGAAACACAGCGTCACACACAGCGGCCTAGAGTGAGCCGCGGCCTAGAGTGAGCGGAGGCCGCCTTGAGTGAGCGGCAGCCGGTGGGCTTGAGAACGGTGCGGCGGGCGGGCTTGCGGCAACCACATGTGACGACCCCGGGCTGGACTCCGCTTCGTCCACGGTGAAAGCCGATCCGGCGATCCACAGCACAAAGTTGATGTATTTCCTCAGCGAGCAGCACGGATCAGCTCTAGGCATGACGAAGCGGATATCGTCCTCTTTTGGAAGACCAAACAAAGTAGTTTTGCGTTCACAACAAAACACACAGCGCCTTCACGACATGGCGGCAGCAACAATACTACAGCGAGAATAAAAGTTAAGCCTTCTTTCTTTGCGTGAACATTTGGGCGGCGTTATGCAAATCTTCCCACATAGTGACGTAGATATGTGGGGGCGTGTTAGAACGAGCCATTTTAGGTAGGCGTGGTTGACTCTTAACTTTTATA